AATATTACACCAAGACTCACTCCAAACAATGAACTGACTTTTATGTCCATTATGTAAAGGACGTTGTTTCAGTTTAATTTCTATTTTTTTTTAATTTTTAATTTTTGTGGTGCTGGGAATAGAACCCAGGGCCTCACACAGGGTACAAAGCACTCTATCAACGAGCAAACCCCTAGTCCTATTTTATATTTTAAAAATAACAATTATGTCCCATGGTACAAAACACTGAATATGATTCTAATAACATGAACAACAACAAAAATCATTCTTTGTTCTTTTAGGAACTTCTAGAATCGCATACACAAATTTGGACATAATTTCTAGAATGTAAACAAATTGATCTTTTAGAAAAGAAAGTACATCTGTTGTATGCAAGTATGTTTCCCCCTAGTGCACGGAACTTTCTAGACTAATGAAAACAAAAATTTCCTCTTACCAAAGCTTTTGGGGAGCTGTTACCTACCAAATATATGCTATTTCTTCCTCCAGTGAGAACAAACATACCCTCTCTTTTCTCTCTCTGGCAGTTGGGGGGTGAGGTGGGGGCTGGGGGTGGGGCAAGCTCTTAGATTCAAACCATAGGAAAACCAAAAATAGATGCAACCAGACACCTGCTGAAAACAGTGACAAATCCCACTGACACTGCAGTGACCCCCAGTTAGTCAAGATTTAATTAAGGGGCATAATTAAGTCAGTGGAACAGAACACTAATGAGTGTTTTTTTAATACGGGTAATTACACGTAAAAATACAAACTGTGATGGAGCCCCAAATATATCATTAAAATTAACAGTATAGAATAACAGAGCACTAAGGGTGTCTCCTCTATTGCTGTTAAAAAAAAGAGGGGGGAGCTGACTTCATCTCAGGTTGAATAAAACTCAGGCAAGTTTATGTTGGCTTCATGCTGGGAACATTTGTTATTCTAATTTTGCAACAATAAGTGACTATGTGTATTGAGATCCTGTTTTCAATGCAGATTCCATTGCTTTGAAGTCTTTCTGAGCTTAGCATTTTGTCCAACTGCAAATGAGCAATTAAAAGACTGTTTGCAAGTATTTGGCTTCCTATGGATGGGCTTATGGAGGTGTCCATCTGAGCTGGGAGACTTTGACAGATGCAGAAGACAGTGACATTATTTACTAATGCAGAATGAGCTTCCGTGTTAGGATTCTTTGTCTGGATCTTTGCTTTAGTAAGCATTGACATAACCCACAGAGCTGGGGGTGTACAGACTGGGAAATATCACAGAAGACTCTAAATACGATGGAAATAGACTGGTAACCTTTCTAACATGAAAATGAGGCACTTAGGTCACAAGGGGGAAAAAAAAAGACTGAAATAACCACATTTGAGTCTGTGATTGGAAAGCATGACTGTGGTTGGGCCTCACCTTCTGCTGAGAGTGTTCTATCTATGGTGCTCTAAGCTGGGGCTCCCGGTCCAGAGCAGCCTTTGTCCATTCTTCTAAGCAACAAGTGGAAAAGCAGATTCTCTTAACTGCTCATACTCCTGATTGGATCTGTACAATTAGGGTTTTGGAATCTTTTTAAAAAGTCATCAGATTTTCTTCCTGAAGGTACTAAAATATGTCTCTCCATCTTTCTGCTTCTGGTCTCACCTTTACTTTGCAATATTCCAGAGAACAAGAAAAGAATATCTTTATGATCTCATGATTTAACAGAGGCCAGTGGCCAGAAACTGCATCTTTTTATTGAGGGCTGGATTTGATTTTGGGGGGAGGGAGGCAGTGGTGAGGATGGACCCAGGGTCTCTGTGCTAGGCAAATGCTCTATCACTAAACTACATCCCCAACCCAGGTCTTGATTTCGTACATATAAGGATTGATGAAGGTCTTTTGTAAATATATGCAAAAGTATTTGTAATTTATTATATAGCAGTGCCTCTCATTCAAGAATTCAATTTTTATTGATATACATTATCAGATAAGTTGTCTAATGTTAACTTCTTATCCATACATATCAATGTGTCTAGGATGAAAATGAAAATTTTTTTTCCATGTGAAGAATTTGTTTTTGACAAAGCCAGCCAGGATAAAAATATCCACAAATAGAATTTTGACATTTTAAATAGTGGTGGGTGAACTCACCAAACCCAAGGGCAGCTGAACACAAAATAAATGGAAAGAAAAATCACCTGGTTTCTTTTCCCCTAATGCTTGCCTTCCAAACGAGCCTTATCTGGGCCAGGTGTGGTGGTGCACACCTGTAATACCAGATACTTGGAGGCTGAGGCAGGAAGGTCTTCAGTTCAAGGCCAGTCTGGGCAAGTTATTGAGACCTTCTCTCAATATTAAAGGAATAAAAAGGACTGGGGATGTAGCTCCCATGCCCTTGGGTTCAATCCCCCTTACCATTAAAAAAAAATTCTCTCTCTGGAGCAAAGTTAGTATAGCAGACAGAAGTTATAGGTGATTAATTAATTATAAAGTCAAAGATTTTACATATACACACCCAAATCCAGAGTGAATAATTTCAAGATATTACAAATGGAAGCATTAGAATTCCAATAGTTTTCTGAATATGAAATATATGAACACTCTATGAAGTTGAGGCCGAGTGATGTGTGCAGCCATACACTTAAACTTTTGAGAGACCATACAAGATGAATTCAAGTAACTGGTTCTGTTAATCTAGTGACCAGTTCAATTCATTTGTGACAATTGAGACATAGTTTTTGGTAGCATTGCCTGGTGGTTCTTGTTAAGAAAATGATTACTGGTCTCTTTGTAAAGCATCTTCTCTCTGCTAAAGCAACTACCTTAAACTTAAAAAAAAAAAAAATCATAAAATAGGGTAAGCCATTTGTTCAAAGCTTAGGGGTAGCGCCCAAACAGTCCTAAGTCAAAAGGTTTTTCAGTGGCATCTATCATTCAAGTAAGCAACTTTGGAAAGCCAAACAACTGAATTTTGGGCCTAGCTCATCTTCCCAGACTGCCTGACATGTCTGATTCCCAACATCCCTTCCACCTCTCTGTCCTTTTGCAAGGCCACCCTTATCAAGTTATGTATGAATGAACAGAGGTGTCTTTCATCCCCTTCTTGCCTCATGGTTCAAAAGGAACTACCAAAATAGCAGCCACAAAAGCCCCACAGCCTGCCAACCGGCTTGCACACATCCCATTCTTAAAGACATGTGAAAGGTTGGAGAGCTCAGCAAAATTTTTATGTACGGGAGCAGGCCCAAGGAAAACTCACCCGCCATAACCAATTGTGGACAGAGGATCATCTATCAGCAGGCAAATGCAGGAACTCCAGAATGTCTCTCCTCAAATGAAATAATATATCTTTGAAAGCCAATGCCCGTTTTAGGCCCGAGGCCCATATATCAAGCCTGAGAGGCTTGTGGAATCGCTCCAGGGCCATTAACCTTCCACCTGTTTCCCCTTGTCCTTCAGGATGAGACCCTGCCCTTGATTTTACTCTCTTCCCCTGTTCATCTTCCGACAGACTGTAAATGTAAAGCAGCGGGCCTGTGAAATAATTCAAAGGCAATGGACCAGGGGCATGGTTACAAATCTCTGCCACTGGCACTGTGACTTATGCAGGCAGTTTGTCACACATGAGCCAGGTGACCTCTGTGACATAACAGAGAAAAATATCGCCGGAGATCAAAGATGGGATTCGGAGCGCTCTAAGTAACTTTGCTCCATACAGTGAGCAGGTTATCTGGTATCCAAGGATTTCCCCTTAAACCAATAACATTTGTTCTAGTGAAACAGAAAAGGTAGCCCAGGGACTCCCTAATTGAAATCACTTCTGTCAAGTAGAATTGGAGCCTTTCCTGTAACATCGGGATTAGAAATTTCTGTTGTCTTGCTCGTGCTGTGTGAATGCCAGGAAGAGGCAACATAAACCCTCCCATTCAACCTTAACGCGGAGAAATTTATAGAATTGGAAAAAGGTACAAGTGAGTCCATACAGGATTTGTTAGCTTGAATATTTAAAGGTACAGTTATGAGGGTAAATAGAAAGTTTTACTATAGCTTATAAATTTGCCAGGTCAAAGTAGTTCAGTAAATTTTTTTATTCATTAAAATGGATCATACATGTCTGTTGTGTATTATGGATAACATAAAAAATGATAGTAACTCAAGGAAGTCATGAGATCATGTGCATGAATTTACTTGTGTTTTTGTTTTTGCAGTGCTAGTAACGGAACCCAGGGGCCTATGCATGCTAGGCAAGTACCCTACCACTGAGCTATATATATCTCTGCCCTTAAAGTTACTTTTGAGAGTCCAAGTTTTCTCCAAATGATATTAGAATTTAGGAAAATGCAGAATCACCCATGAATGGCTTAAAAAAAAAAGAGAGAGAGAGTTAAGAGCTGAAGATGTATATGGAAGGAAATTAGCAGTTTGAATATCTTAAATGTGAATTTAAACCATTTTCTAGTTTGTATTTATTGCTTAAATTATGAGTTTTCTCCACTCATTTTGGTATTCAGACTGGTATTCTCTGTTGGGTCTAGAAAATAAAGAAGACTTCGAAGTAGTCCTCTGTAGCTAGGCCCACTGTCTCTGTAGTAGGAACATTTCATTTTTAATTTCGTCTATATTAAAAACAGAAACAATAACAGCCAGTGTTGGATTTATTGGTTGAGTGATGCAGGCACACTCCGGTTCATGCATTTCCTGTTCTAAAACAAGGAAGAACTCTAGCCAGGACATAAGTGGCATTCCCTGTTGCCCTCTACCACACATGTGCACACAATAGTATCTTTCTTTAGGTGCTACTCAAATCCTTAGCAGCCAACAACTGTAATGTGCTTTTATCATTTTTCAAGCACGCTGACACCAATGTCCAATTTCCAAAATGTTGACACTAATGTCAAATGCTTAAAAAATACAACAATGCTCCCTAATTGGATCCTTATACAGTGTATATGGATCTGAACTATTACGCCATACCTGGTATATATGTACAATTAGTGTAAGTCATTTAAGAATTACAAAAATGATAATTAGAAAGTTCTGATGTGCTCGCTTCGGCAGCACATATACTAAAATTGGAACGATACAGAGAAGATTAGCATGGCCCCTGCGCAAGGATGAAAGTTCTGATGCCAAAGTTTGGAAAAATTTCAAATACCAACTTAAATCTTCACAAAAATAGGAAGCTGCCAATCTTCTTTAGTCAGCCTCTGAGTCTTTCATCTGAGACCTTCCCCAGGCTTCAAAGGGTCAATGAAGTCCTGAGGACTGCATGCAAATTTTTCTGTTTATGCATTTTTCTGGAAAGATTAATAATACCTTTCATCAGATTCTCTAATGTGTTTGTGATTCAAAGGAATGTTAACCATGACTGTGATAGTATAGATTATGCAATCTTGAAAGATTTTGTTACTATACTAAAAATAAAAAACTGGGAGCTGGGTGTGGTGGTATAGCAGCTGTTAATTCCACCTAGTAGGGAAGCTGAGGCAGGAGGATTGCAAATGTGAGGCCAAACTTGGTAATAGCAAGACTCTGTTTCAACATAAAAAATTTAAAGGGCTAGGAATGTAGCTCAGTGGTAATGTGCCTCTGGGTTCAATAAAAACAAAACAAACAAACAAGAAAAATTGTGAGATCTTGTAAGGATCCTAGAGGTCATCCACCTGACCTGGTATTTTTGCATCTGAGAATAAGAGGGAGCCACAAAACTCAATTTATGAAAACAATAGGTAGTGCAAATAATGGGACCCAAGATTCTCACTTCCTAAACCCAGGACCCTTCCACTATGAGTTACCATCTTCCCTTTGACTGTTGTTTGAGTCTGATTTTGTTTTATGTCACTTTAAATAATTTTTCTGTGATATACAAATCTAATTGTGAAAAATACATGTTTGCAAAAGAACATAAAACATTTTAATATTTATGGCCTTAGGCACCTATTGCTATGAATAAATGGTAAGAGGCTTTCATTTGTGGACTAAAATTTGTTTTTATAAAAATACCAATAATTAGAATGGTAGATATTATGCCTTGAACTTTTGTTTGGTTTTCTTCCTGAAAAAAAGATCATTTGTTTATATTTCTTATGGCACAGCATACCTAAGTTTTAAGTAGCTTTGTTGCATCTATTTAGTTTTAAGTATATTTTGCAGTGTTTCTTAAAAAAAGTAATATTTAAATTACATAGATCAATCCATTGTCATATAGTAAATAAGATTAATGGATACTCCATTTTAATATTTATAAAAGTTTCAACCCAAGATCACGCAACTCTGCCTATCTTCAATAAATATTTCTACTTAATATTGTTAAATTCTATTTCCAAATTACTAAGAGAAGCAATGCATACTATTCAATTAAGTTGAACTTATTTCCCTACTAAATAAAATACTAAAATACCAAATCTAAAACACTTAAATCTGAAGAAATATATCAGTTGTTGTCAGAATTCTCAAATAAAAGTAAGATATTGGCTATTTTCAGTAAGCCACTTAAGTCATTCCTTTTAGAAAAAAGTATATGACCAAAGGGGGGGGGGGATTCTCATAATAAGTCATCCTAAAAATTTTAACTCACTAATTTTCTATGATTTAAACAAATAAAAGATGGTTAGCCTTCTGCCAGAAAAAAAAAAAAAAAAAGTCCTGGGCATGAATCACTGCTTACATTCTTTTCCATCCACAAACAATTTCATTTGGGAAGGTTGCCACATAGTATCGACAGTGACAACAAATGGCATTGTCCCATGAACATCTGTTTCCGACTCCCACACTGATACTGCAGGCCACTGGTTGGGACTTAGTTGGTCTTCACAAATTGCTGAGCCACAAAGGAACTGGAAATCACTGGTACGTTGAGGTTTTATTATTGGAACACAGGAAAACTTTATCATCATGCTGGGAAGTTCTGTATCTTTTGAAATATTGGAACCGGGGTTATGTTAGCACATTAAACCGTGCGGAAGACTACTTCTGAAGAAAGGGGAGGGAAAAAAAATCATTTCTTGTCTATTATGTCCTTGGGTTGAGGTTCCCACTTCATCTTCATATAACTTCCTCACCCACCCTCAACTAAAAACTATTTTGTTTTTTAAAGATGTTATTGAATTTCGTTTCTTGTGAAAATTGAGAGAACATTTGGAATACCAAAGAAATTCTAAGCCAACATGATAAATAAACACTATTGTTTCTTAACAAAAAAACATTAGATGAAACCAGAAGAGCTTTTGTATACACTTTTATTTTTTTCTTCTAAATTCACACTACCAAGCTGACATTGTCTGAAACCCTGGCAACAGAAAGCTCATAAAGACCCCTGACTAGAATATCCTCACCTCAGTGCCCAGGGTTAAAAGGAGCCGAGCAAAGAGCTGCTAGGACCAAATCCAAAATGAACAGCATAAATGGAGGTGGTGACAAGACACAGATATGGAACTTCTGTTTTACACTTGAACCTGTGCTGTGAGCTAATGGCTTATGCTAGTCTATCAATAACCATTAAGTGCACAGGACAGATTTCTACTGGCTTACATTGTTCCTCCCTGTGGCGTTTAGTTTTAACAAAAGCAATAATGGAAATGAAAAATTTTCACAGTGGTAATTCTAAACAAAATATGCTCCAACTATTTTGCATACTCCAAAGTCATTTGCATATTGCTTCAGCTAGAGGGTCCCCCTCTTTTTGGTGGTTAAAAATGGGATGGCATATTAATGGAAATGTTGAGTAGGATGTGCAATCAATGTCTGACCTGGACACATATTTTAATGTTTAATTCTAAAAAGGCATATTGACAATCTATAAGATACTGTTTACTTCTTTTGACATTACATATAATAGTCTCTCAAAAATTTTGTGGAATAGATCTCTAAATGAAAAAATCTGACCTTTCTGGTTGAAGATAAACCAATAATAAATTTCTACTGCTGAGAAATAATCCTTATACTTATTTTGCTTAGAATATGATCTTTCACCAGAATACAGTTTATGATATGTTCTAAGTATTAATCCAACTATTGCCAAATACCACATATTCATAATTTCACATGCTGAAAACCACCAAAAACATATTTTAAAAATAATCATTCAATCTATTATTACTACTTGTGGGAAAATATATTCATATTTGGATAAGTTATTTTTTTTCTTCATTTGACTCCAGTTTGTACTGATGTTTTTTGAAAATCAAAGTATTTGAAATGTATGTATCTCTCACTTTTAAAGACAGTCTACAATCTATTCTTAAATAATTACATTCATAGCTACTTATCAAAACAAGAAAAAAAATCTGGGCTGGGGATGCACTTCCATGGTAGAACATTTGTTTAGCCCATGCAAGATCTGGGAGTCAATCCCCCCAGTACCACCAAAAACAGAAAAAAAGAAAAAAATGAATAAATAAACAATTGGAAATTAGAAGTAGATCTGATAATACTTATGTATAAGAATTCTTGTGATAGAACTGAAATTTGTTGTGTATTATATAGGACAATAGCTTATGTCTATATTGTTGTTTATGCTTTTCAAGGTACTTTTACCTGCCACTAGCTCATCACGGGTGGCTCTTGTAAGATAAATACGTACAGCTATTTTCCTCCCTTTATGTGCAAAGAATCCTTCAAGATTGACTTAGCTGATTCAAATGGTAGTAACTTTGCAGTTTTCCCCTCCATAGTCAGAGTCCCTATGCTCTGCATTCTGGCAACTTATCTCATTTCTATTGTACACCCTTGGTTAAACCTAATTGTATCTTCACAGGTCTGTTTGGCTGCCAGACCTGGCTTGTGAGCAAGGACTTTGTATCTTTCTTTGGCACTGGGGGTCAAACCCAGGACTTCACACAGGCTTGGCAAATGCTCTCCCACTGAGTTAAATCCCCAGCTCTAGGGACTAGGTATTTTAATTTACCTTGTATCCCTACTGTTCAGAATTATACCTGGCACGTAACAGGACTCCATGTATATATATTTACTACAGGAGTTAATCAGGACATGGTGGTTCAAAAACAAAGAAACAAACAAACAAAAAACTATGTGTATTTGTGTGTTTGTGAGTATGTGTGTATGTGTGTATTCAAATGTTTTGACCCAGGTTGTAACGTTCATGAGTGGCTTAGGTGAACAGGCTCAGCTCCTGGTTCAGGTCTGTCTACTGTGGATGACTCCTTCCAACTTCTGGCATGAACTGACCCTCTAGAGATGTCATCTGATAATGACCAAATAAGTTAACAAAAAGGCAAGCCTTCGGTGCTGATTTTAGTAAGGAAGTAAAGATAAAATTCTTCATCACACCTTGTGTCACCCAGAGGAAACGTCAGCCTGCCAATTTTACAAACATGCCAGTAAAAGAATTTCCTTGGCCAAGTGACAGCGTGGAAATGTCCTTTTTAAAAATCAATTAACCCCCTGAATCCGAGAGCTTGCTCGGAGCATTTCCTAGGCCATGGAATACAAGGCTCATGGAGATGCTGTTCCCCTTTCTATTTCTGGACACCTTCTTTTGTTCATTGGTGCTAAGAATAGTGGCAGAGCTGGGGGCACTATTTATAGTCCTGAAAACAGTATGGCTCTGTGAACACTTTATTCATTTATATTTCCTGTGTTTATTGTTACCTTACCTTTTTAGTAATTAAAAGTGTTCATCCAAGATTTTATTTAGTAACAAATCAGTTGTAAATAGCATTTCTTTTAATATATGAAAGCCTATCTTTAGACTCCATTAAATATTTCGCTCCCTTTCCTATTAACTAAAAACAGATTTCAATGGTGGGGGAGGGGCATACAACTGTGTTTTCCTTCCAAATTGCATATGAAATCTAGTGATTTGACCTTTAGGTGTTTTGATTAAAAGAGTCTCAGTGTATGCAGCAACTCACACCTTCTCAAATCACTCATGTTTCCTTTTAAATGTTGAAGTAAAATTTCTAGTATGGCTACCCCACCATGCATTCATAATTAATAAACTGTAACTTTATTTTTTAGAGCTTTCAATTGTTTTAAAACGTGACTAGAAAATGTAATATTAAAAATGTCCCCTCTGCCTCACAAAAAATTTCTTACTGGAAGACAACGTCTCTGAACATGGTCCCACTTGGGACTTCCCTTTGAAACAGATGAAATTTTCTGGTCCAAGAAGCACCCAAAACCAGAACCC